TTCAACCATGCCCAGCCATCCTTTGAAAGCCGAAAGGAATCCACCCTCTCAATTTGCAAGATTTCAATTTCAAGTTTTACTCAAATAAGGTTACCGCAATTTCATGTTGTAAGTTATGCAAGTTCTAGGAATCCCACCCTCTTTCTCGAGTTGCAAGATTTCATTTTGAAATTGTAATAAAATAAGATTAATGTATCTATTAAGAAAACTGGGACTGTAGTTGAATTTGTTTCTTCTATGAGCCATATTTTTTGCTACTCAATAAAAAGTACATGTGTCGTTGCAAAGAACTTCAAGATGCTTCCAAGATTAGATCTTCATCACTTCAGTTGTCCTGCAAAGCCCCGAAGTTGGTTTCGGGTAGACTTTCCGATGATTAAGTCAGCAATAATCAGAGTTATCAGTTATGAAACAAGAGCTAAGTTTGAGTTCGGTTTCAATTACCTTTTAGGGAGGGCCCTTGAGAGGATCTTTATAGCCTTTTGAGTATCCACGTGTTGATCTTTGCGAGAAACTGAGATCATATGTGCCAATCATTGTAGTCGTAGATATCTCTTATAAGAAATCTGTATATGTATGGAACTACTGTAAAGTAAGAGCAAAAGGGATGAGCTTGAATCCAACTGAGCTCATTATTCTTTAAGACAATCATCAAGGTAACTAGATTGTTAGGAATAGCTCAAGGAGTCCGAAGTACGTGACCTCGGATGGCAAAGGTTGTGACCTCAGTCTACTATCACTACAACATGGGTGTTGTTCTGTTTGGAATATCTACTTGGCCAGACTTGGTAATGGTCTGTTTCTTATTGTAAAGGAGCTCGAGCTCTAGCTCGGGACGAGCAAGCAACCGAGTACTTTGCAACTCGAGTTCAAGCTTGACTTTTTCAAGAGTAATTTGGAGCTTGAGCTTGACTGGTGAAGATGAACATTTGTCTAATAAAAAAAAGGGTAATGTACAGTGATTTGATCAATAATTTAGCAAAGAATTTTTAATATGGATTAGGTAGGGCCAATTTGACTTTACGTTACCTAGGAAGCACTAGTTCAAGATAAGCTCCTGTGGGCTGCTTTCTTCTCATCTCCTTCTCATGTAGAATGGATTGTGTTTTCTACTGGGGGACTAACTCTATTCGTTTCAATTACTAATCCTACTGCTTCTGGAGATTATAGCTGCGTTACGTTGCAGAAACTATTTTTGAGGGCTTGAACTCTATACCCCAGGTTTGAACTTAATTATAGTTATGCTAGGATATCTGGATTCTTATCTAGTAAGAAAACAGATATCTCTTTATTTCTGGCTGAGCCTAGAAAACAAAAGTATGTTATATTTTTTATTACTGATTGACTAAGAAATTCTGTTGGTTATTAACAGAGAATTAATAGAGAAAAGAATAGAAGAATATTGAGTTATGTTACTTATCTATATATGGGGTTGGGCCAATCACGCGTTTTTATAAGCACTTTTCATCTGTCAAAATGATTAATTTGGTATTCTGCAATAAATTGTTTAAGATGATGTTGTTTCATGATTAACTATTTCACTCAGAGACTAATTCTCGTCAATTTTTTTTTTTCCAGGTATTTGTGAAGTTGGAGAAGGAACAGTGGCGAAAAGTGATGTTAAGCTTCTGGGGGCATGGACTAGTCCCTTTGTGATGAGGGCAAGAATTGCCCTTAACATCAAATCCGTGGACTATGAGTTTCAGGAAGAGAATTGGCTTGTGTCCAAAAGCGAGCTGCTTCTTAAATCAAACCCTATTCACAAGAAAGTCCCAGTTCTCATCCATGCTGACAATCCCGTATGTGAGTCTCTCATCATTGTCCAGTACATAGATGAGGTTTGGTCCTCTGGCCCCTCTATTCTTCCTTCTGATCCTTATGATCGGGCCACATCTCGATTTTGGTCTGCCTATATTGATGACAAGGTACATGTTCAATGTTCATCCTAGACATTTAGTTTTCTTTCTTGGTAAGAAATTTGTTTAACTGATCTTGTGTGCATAACTTCTCCAGTGGTTCCCATCCATGATAGCCTTTTTTTTTGCGCAAGAAGAGGACGCCAAGAAAGCAGCAATCGCACAGATGGAAGAAGGCCTGGTGCTGTTGGAGGAAGCATTTGGGAAGTGTAGCAAAGGAAAGGCTTTCTTTGGAGGTGATCGAATTGGGTTCCTTGACATTGCATTTGGGTGCTTCTTGGGGTCGTTAAGAGTCATAGAGAAGGCTGATGGGATTAAGCTGCTCAATGAAACTAAAACTCCTTCTCTGTTGAAATGGGCAGACAGGTTTTCCTCTGACACTGCTGTCAAGGAACTCATCCCTGATACTGATACGCTGGCAGAGTTTGGAGAGAAGCTTCAAGCCAAAATGATAGCTAATAAGTAAGTCATTGTCTAGCATTTGCTTCTTTGCTGCCTAAGTGATAAGAGATCATCCTTGGTTTCGACTCCTTGTGCTTTGCCATCGGCAAAAACAGGGTGACCCCAATCTTGGGATGCAAACAAAAACCAGTATTTCTTTGCTTGTTTTGTTATGAGTGTCAGTAAGTCATCTTAATGTTTTGCTTCTTTCTAATGTCAATGTACTTTGCTTGTTGAGGTCTCGTTTATGTTATTTGCAGCTTATGTGGAAGCAGACTGTTGAGAAATAGTTGGGATATTCGAATGGCCAAAGCCCCTATTTGCACCCTCCATTTATTTTTTTTCCGCGGTCTAACACTTTTTAGAATTTTTCTTCCTTATTCACACCCTCCACTTTTTAAAACCCGTGAAAAACCCAATATTTTAACGGGCCGTCATGGCACCGTTAATAACCGTTAAAAATTGTAATACGTGGCATCAAACAGTAACATAATCCAATGTGGACTTTCTTTTTTGATGATATGACATAATTAAATCATAATTAATTTTATTTTTTTCATTTTTTTCTTTCCCGCATCATCTTTACCATCTTCCTCTTCATCTTCCTGGGTTCCTCATGGAACCAAAAACCAGGAACCCAGAACTTTATGTCACATTTATTAATCTAATGTTGGACTTTTTTTTATAATGTGTTATAATTAAATCTTCATTAATTTTAATTTCTTTATTTTCTTCTTTCCCGACATCATCTTCACCATCCTCGTCCTCATCCCCCTAGATTCCTCGCAAAACCCAAGTTCTGAGTTCTTTGTGGAACCTAATTTCACAATTTGCCTACCAAAAACAATCTCCAAGCAAAAAAAACTCACTTTTTCAACAAAAAAAAATTATTTCAAATTGCTTTGCATAAAATCGAAAACTAAGATAAATACATTCAAAAT